CCTTAATAATTAGGGAAATACTTAATAACAACGTTTATTAGCTATTACTCTTTTTTATTAAGGCGGAGCCTCTTTAAATACCGATCTTTACCGATGAACTCATATAATTTATCCTTATATTTACTATTATATAGCCTTCATTATTATAATTATCGGATAGAGATTATAGGGAGTATTTTGTACGACCCTGCCAGCTTCCGAAGGGGGAACACTGTCAGAGGGTTGGGGTTGCTGTTTGCAGAAGCTTAGGGTTGTGACTCTGAGACGATGTGGTGTCGTAAGGCGTTGCGCACTCGTTACAATGAATACAAGGTAAGACTTAGATTGATCACTGTCGTGAGAAAGAATGTATCTACAAGTCCAGAATGTCCGTCCTTATATACCTGCCATCCTGTCCTTGTTGTGTTAGGTGGTGAGCTCATGTTGGATGGCTCACTGGTTAGTTGTTGGTGATCCATGATGTTAGGATCACGGTGTGTTATCCCGTGAGCCATTCCCTGGCTCACTGCGGCGTCCTTGGTGAGCCCGACGACTCACCCTTTATGTCTGAGTGAGCCATCACGTGATTTGCCAGGTGGGCCCGATTCTTATCTTATCGCGCTCCCTGATCGCGGGGTCGTCGATTCGCGGCCGCCCTGCTTCCTTGGTTGTTACATTACCCCTCGACCTACCTACCTTCGATCTAAACGAAAAATATACTATTTTATAGCTCTCATTAAGGGCTATAAGAATCTTCGATCTATTTCTCGACCCGACGTCTCCTTCTAGAGATATAGCTACTTTTATCTCTCCCTTCCTCTTATCTATTATTATCTCTTTATTCTATAACTAAGCTATACCCTCGGTCGTTGCCTAATACCTCCTACGTCGATTACGATTTATACTATTACTAAGACTATTAAAAGAAATAGGTTTAGGTCTATATATTTTAATACTAAAATTAACGTATAAGATATATATATCTATATATCTCTAGGAAACTCTATATAACTACTTTGACGGTAGGTTATTTTGCAACAGTTATTTCTATAACTATTATTAGTCAGTGTGGCCCTGGCATACTACGCCTTGTGTAACGGCACCTTTCTTCCCAACCTTGCTGGTAAGGGACCTAGGCAGGCACATAGTGGTTATAGAAGTGGAGTGGTACAATTCCATTGGCCACCGCCTCCAAGGCAAGTTGAAGAGAGAGCGGGGTAGATGAGCAATCGCGGCGCCAAGAGCCGTTCGATAAGATGCGAGGTGCTGTTCGCCGGATCATATATGAATTGCGACCTTGAGCTGTCCTTCAACTACCAAGCTCCAGGTTCATTCCGATTAATATCAATCGCCCACACGGCGATACATCCCACCACAGCCACCATGTCCTCATCTCGTGGCAAGACTGTAGCATGTACATGGCCTAGTTTCGTTCTGACCTGGCTGCGGCAAGCAGCTAGACCTGCAGATCTGCCACGCCGAAACTGGGAGGAGTACATTGCAGGGATTGGGATGATTCAAGCAAACGAGAAACGTCGTCAGAATGGCCTGCCCCTTCTGGAACATGGAATAATCTTGTAAGCATTTGTGATTTATTCTTTGGCGGGCAACGGAGTTCTCCATGGGCCCTGACCCCCGAAATAGAACTGGCCTTCACGAGAGCTCATCAGATCCTCGTCCCCATATTACACTTGCTGCAGCTACGAAGTCCATGCGCAAGCACCACCAACATGTCGTGGTGCATAGCCGCTTGAGTAGCAGTCGCTTCGAAGATGCGGAGTTTGTAGGAAGCGAAGAATTCCCGGATAATGTCCGAAAGGACGACGAGAGGCTGCGGAACTCGTACGCTCAGCCCCATTCAAACCAGAGCCTCTCTCATCATTAAAGACTCCGAGTCTGTTCCAGTGGGTTGCATCGTCACTAGTGGACGTGTACAATGGTACTTTTTGAACGATGAGCAAAGAGCTAGTGGTATCTCGAAGAAGACTACTTTTTATCGGGCTGGC